CGTTGAGCCGATTATAGAAAATACTTCGGGGACTTGAGTTAACTAGTATTTCTGTATTTTTTTTATAAAAAAAAAAAAAAGAAAAAAAAAAAAAAAAAAAAAAAAGGAAACCCTCCCCAGATATATATATATATATAAAATAAAATATAAGATAAATATAACTCACCATTCGGAATCACGTGATACTTTGAAAGATATGTGTTTCTTTTTTTTTTAAGAAAATATTCTTCTTCTTATTCTTTTTCTTCCACTCCTCCCCTCCCTCCTCTCCGCACGTACAATTACTTCACAAACTTCCGCCACTTTGTTTTCCCACACCTGATTTTCACCCCCCCCCCAAAAAAAAATCTAACACTTTTTTTGTTGTCTTATTCTTTATTCTATTATTCCTTAATTCAGTTTTCTTCTTCTTTTTTTTTTATTGGGTCCCACTCTTTTGTATTGTTTTTATCGTTAGTCTGCGCGTGTGATATCGAACTATCTCTCTCTCTCTCTCTCTCTCTCTCTCTCTCTTTCCTCTTCTTCCCTTTCAAACTTTCAACCAGTTTCCCGCGTGCAGCGAACCGGCCACGAGTGGTGGTGGTGGTGGTGTTGGTGATGGTGGTGGTGGTGGACTTGGTGGTGTTGGGTGCTTTGGATTCAACCCCTTCTTTTCAAATTTCCTCTCACCCCCTTCTTCACTCTCGCAAATATTTACTTCTCAAATTTATATCACTAAAATATACACGCAAGGATAGTTCGATCAATCAATCGATCGATCAATGAATTAATCAATCAATCGATCGATCGAACAATCGATCAATCAATTAATAATAATAATAACAATAACAATAATAATAATAATAAACAAAGAGATAGAGAAAAGAAAAAAATGAAACAACCACCGAGTAAATGGTCGAGACGTATGATTTAGAAATAAATTAATTAAAAGAAAAAAAAAAACAATAAAACTAAAGAGAAACAATAATTCGTTTTATATGAATACGAATGAACGGTAACACACCTTTGAACTGTTAGAAAAAAAAAAAACGATAATATCAATAAAAGATATATATATATGATTATCTGTGTGAACGTCTTCTTCAACGCGGACAAAAATTCGTCAAAAATTATTCTAGTTTTTTCTTTCTCCGTTTTGATTTATTCACTCGCGTTATTTAAACAACAGAAAAAAAGAAATGAGAAATAAAGAAAATTTAAAAGAAAGAAACGTTTATTATGTTTTTGTAATAATACGAATCTACTAACACGAAGCTCGCGTTCCGTACGGTGCGGGCGTCGAGTGGCGACTGTCGTTTCTTCCGCCAATCGGCTCCTGACTCGTCCCTTCCCTTCTCTTCCCTTCCCTAACAACCATTCCCCTTACCCCCTCCCATGCACCACCTGCTTCCCCCACCAATCGACTCCTTGACCCCACCGACACAACACGCTACACATTATTCCCTCTTTCTCTTTCTTAAGGTTACCGCCCCTGTCTTTCTCTTTCTCTCTCTCTCTCTCTCTCTCTCTCTCTCTCTCTCTCTCTCTCT